GATTCTTATGTTTTCCCTTTTCTTAGTTCATACTTAAGGTTATTTTTTTTTAAGTGAATTCTACCCCCAAAGTGTGCTCAAACTCACAACCCCCAGATTCAGAGCCACATGCTCTACCAACTGAACCAGCCAGGCACCCCCATACTTTAGTTTTAATGGAGTTGATCCTCTAGTAGCTTCCTGAGATAAAGTGCATAAAGGTAGATATTTTGAGACCTTACCTGTCTTAAGATGTAAAATGTTTTTTATTTGACCCTTACTTGACTTAGTAATTCATCAGGTTCAAAGAATTCTCATCTCCCATTCAGTTTCCTTCAGCGTGTTGATGCTGTTCTCATTATCCTATCTGTCTTTTGTGGATGGTTTCTATGAAATGTGAAGACACTGTGCTGTTGAATCCTGTCTATGGGGCTTATTTTTCCCCCTCTGGAGACCCATGTCATATTCTTTTTTTTTTTTTTTTTTTTTTTTCAGTATTTCATGATTCATGAGTGTGTCTTGGTGTGGATCTGTTTTTTTTAAGTCATTGTATCGGTTTTCCAAGGAGTTTCAATCTGGAAACCATTCCTTCTTTGTGAGAAAGAATCTTTAGCCATTTAATTGATTTCTTCCTTCCGTCTTTTTTTCTTTTCTCTTTCTGGAGGTCTTGTTATTCTTCCAGATAGTGGATCTCCTGGTCTGCTTCTCGAAATCACTTTTTTTTTTTCCTCTAATTTCCTCATCAGTTGGTTTGCCTATTTGCTTAACTCCCTGAGAGTTTTCCTCAGCTTTCTTTGCCAACACTGCCATTGAGTTTTACAGTTTTTCCTATCATGTCGTTAAGTTTTAAGACCCCTTTTTTATTTGCTAAGTGTTCTGTTTTTGTGGTTTCTGATTTGTTGGAGTCACTGCTATGAGGCAGACCTCCCCAAATGTAGTAACACAAACATTTCCATTTTATTTTTTGCTCACACATTTTTGGGTCAGGAATTCAGAGAAGACCTGAGTGACCATGGGCTGGAGTCATCTGGTAGCTTCCTCACTTATATGTCTGGCAGCTGGACTAGGATGAATGAAGTCTGGGTTCACCTGGGACTGTTGACTTGGGTACCTTGGACTCTGGCTTGTTACAACATGGAAGCCGGTTCCAAAAGGAAGTGCCTGGAGAGCAAATTTTCTAAAACAACCAGTTGGAAGCTGCATACATAGTTTTACATGACCCAGACTTGGCACCCAAATAGTGTCACTTCTGCCAAACTCTCCTGGTCACTGTAGCCACAAGGTTGTCCAAATCTAAGGGGAAAGAAATTTTGACTCTGTCTTGATTGGAGAATGGTAAGGTCACATTGCAAAAGAGCATATGGGACGGGAGTGTTGTTTTGCCCATTTTCAGGCCATATAATCTTATTGATTGAATGCAATGTTTTTCTTATCTCTCTGAGGATATTATTAATTTTCTTCTCCCCGTACACAATGTGTTTCTTTGAACGTTTAGGGAAATTTCCAATTTAAGCAATATATTTAGGTCTTGGCTTGGTTGGATTCCCCAATGAATGAACTCCTGCGTTGGGGTGGCTGGCGAAATTCTGGGAGCTGATAGCTGGAAATAGGGAAGGAGATCTCAATACCTATTGTCCTTGGGTTCACTCAGTTCTGCTGTTTCTTGGTTGGAAACCTTGTTTTCCATTGTGCCTGGTGTGCCCCAACATACAGAGACTAAATCTTGGATCTTGGCCAGGTTTCAGGGTAGAGATACAACTGCTTACAAACAACTGCCAGCCACTACTGTTTTGTTTTATTTTGTTTTCAGCCACTCTCACCCCTCACCCTCTGAAATCTGTGCCACCATTTCCTTGACTCTTCTGAAGATCTTATAGCGTAAATAGAGCCAGTTCTTTCTTTCCCTACTGGCAGTCTGGGATTGTTGGGTCTGCTTAATCAGTTACCTTTCATCTCTCTGCTTTTCAAATTTTACTTGCTGTCTCCTCTCTCACTGTGCCTGAGAACATTTTGTCTGTCCTCCCACTCCAGTGAGCTGCACCCTAGTACTGACCAGATAGAACTGCTCATTTTATGTTGGAACGCTTCTAGAGACTGTTACTGTTACCTTGGGTGTGTTTGATGCTTTTTTTTTCGTTCCTCTTCATTGACCAGCTCTCCTTAGTACCAGCATCAGAACAGATCAGAGTTGACTTTCAGTATTGATAGAGTTTTGATTTAAAAAAACCACCTATGAAGAACTATTGCCTTAAGTACTGGCTTTCCTTTCTTCACATGGTAGAATTATTTTCTCCCATTTCGTCTCAAGTTGTGTTTTCCTACTTAAAAATATTCATGGTGGGATCCACAAGGAAGTCTGTTCTTTCAAGAAAGGCATCAGTGTTCAAGAGAGGGACTTTCTCTAGGATACTTGCTAAGACAGTTGCCAAGTCCGTTAGATTTTGGCGAGGAAGGCTTGGCAGTGTGTTTGGGTCACATAGCAGAATAGCAGATTACATGCAAGGCAGAGATTGGCAAAATCGATTTTTAAAAAGTGACCCAGTGATAGGATATCTACAAGAGATATGGTTCAGATTCAGAGACACAATTAGGTTGCAGTAAAATAATGCAAATAGATGTGCCATGTAAACAAATACCCGAGGTGAGCTAGAGTAACTATATTAAGAGCTGACCAAATAGACTTTAGGGTAAAAATTATTAGAGACAAAGACATTTTGTAATCAAGAAGGGCAACAAGGAATCAGAAGACTTGAACTCCATGATAAACCAACAACTAATGGACATTTGTAGAACACTCCACCCACATCAAATACACATTCTTCTCAAGAACACATAGAACTTTCTCCAGGATAAGCCATATCTTAGACCATCATACAAACCTAGGAATATGATCACCATGTTGAGAGATTAGCCTCTGTTTAGAAACTGCCAAAGTGATTGTACCATTTTGCATAGTTGGTGCTCATTGTGCCTTCTGGGTGTGCAGGTTAATTTTTTTAAATCAAATTTGGGGAAGTTTTCAGCATTATTCAGATTTTTTTTTCTACCTCCCATGGTACGTATCCAGCCCTCTCTCCCCCCCCTTACCTGTCCCCCTCAGCTTTCCTTCAGCAAATCTTATTATGCATCTGTTGATAATGCTTAATATCTCATACCTCTCCGAGGCTCTGTTCATTTTTCTTAATGTTCTTTACTTTTTGTACCACAACTAGATATTCTCACTTGACCTGTCCTCAATTCCACTGATTCTTCTGTCAGTTTAAATTTTCTGTTGAACCCCTCTAGACAACTTTTCAGTTCAGTTTATTCCACTTTTGGTTCCAGATTTCTGTTGGGGTTTTTTCTTTATAATTTTCTATCTCTTTATTGAGATTCTCAGTTTGGTTAAATATCATTCTCATTACTTTCAGTTCTTTAGTTCCTTGAAAAATATTTATATTATATTATATATTTATAATAGCTGAAAGTCTTTATTAAGTCCAATGCCTGGGCTTCCTTAGGGACAGTTTTTATTTACTGTGCTTTTTTTCCTGTATATGGGCCAGACTTTCATGTTTCTTGATATGCCCTATATTTTTTTATTGTTAAAGGGACATTTTATTATTTATTTATTTTTTAAAGATTTTATTTATTTCTTCATGAGAGGCACAGAGGGAGAGGCAGAGACATAGGCAGAGGGAGAAGCAGGCTCCCAGCATGGAGCCTGATGCAGATCTTGATCCCAGGACCCCAGGATACCAATCATGGCCAATTATTTTATTTGTATTATTAATATTCACAATTTATTTCCTAACTAAATATTTAAAAGTGTTAACACTAAATATTCCTAGTGTTAATCCTGTTATTAATAAATCTGAGCTGAAGGCAGACGCTCAACCACTGAGTGTCCCCCTATGGAGGGACATTTTAGAGATGCCTGGGTGGCTTAGTCAGTTAGGCGTTCAGCTCTTGATTTCAACTCAAGGCCATGAGATCAAGCCCTGCATTAGACTCTGTGCCCAGTTTGGAGCCTGCTTGAGATTCTCTCTCCTTACCCCTCCCAATGCACCCCCCCACCACCACCACCATGTACTCTCTCTAAAAAAAAGAAAGAAAGAAAAAGGACATTTTCTAATGTGTCAACTCTGGAAGTCGGACTTCTGCCCCCGCCCTGTCCAAAAAGGCAAATCCTATTATGGTTTGTTGTTGATGCTGTGTTTGCTTCGTGACTTTGCTAGGTATAGATACTGGATCACCTAATGATTGGATAGAGATTTCTTCGAATGTCTGAACCAATAAGGAGTGGGTACTACTTAGTGGCATCACTTTATGATCTGATGTTTTAATGGCTGTTATGCTTAAGTATTTTTTCAGAATCTCCCCATGTTCCTTGCTAATACAAGTTTGGAGTTGGGTGGTGGAAAAGATAGTTGGAAGAAGACAAGATAAGCAGCTAACTCAATTACAAGATTGGCTTTCATGGGCCAGTAAACACTGGGAATCTTCACAGTGGGAATAGAATATATTGGATTTTACAATAGTATTGAACCATTAAACTATTCCTTGGCACCCACTTTGGGACATGCTCCTAGAGTTTTCTTTGGAAACCTTTGACCCAAATTGCAAATATTTTCAAACATTTAGCAATACACAACCAGCATTAGAAAAACAAGTAAGGGGATCCCTGGGTGGCGCAGCGGTTTGGCGCCTGCCTTTGGCCCAGGGCGCGATCCTGGAGACCCGGGATCGAGTCCCACGTCGGACTCCCGGTGCATGGAGCCTGCTTCTCCCTCTGCCTGTGTCTCTGCCTCTCTCTCTCTCTCTCTGTGTGACTATCATAAATAAATAAAAATTAAAAAAAAAAGAAAAAGAAAAACAAGTAAGACTGGAGAGAAGGAAATTTTGAAAGTGAGAAATGAACCAGCCATAATTTTGAGAAAAAAAAGTAAATACATAGGATTAGCTCACCAGCATGCTTTCTGAGTGTGTGTATACTTAATGAGCATTACATTCCTTCACACATTTCCCTTTTCATTTCACAGATTTTTTAAAAAGCCTCATGGGACATAGCACCATTGCTGAATGCCTGGTACATATAAGAAACCTGCCTGCATGGGAGGCACTCTACAAACACAGTATGTTACCTGAAATCTGAGAACTAAATGAGCCAGACTTTAATTCTAAATGGTAAAAAAAAAAAAATGAGCACTTTTCATAACATTATTCTATACCAATAATGGCCAATTATTTTATTTGTATTATTAATATTCACAATTTATTTCCTAACTAAATATTTAAAAGTTCTAGTGTTAATCCTGGTATTAAAAAATTATTTTCAGGGGAATCCCTAGGTGGCTCTGTGGTTTAGTGCCTGCCTTTGGCCCAGGGCGCGATCCTAGAGTCCCGGGATCAGGTCCCACGTCAGGCTCCCGGCATGGAGCCTGCTTCTCCCTCCTCCTGTGTCTCTGCTTCTCTCTCTCTCTCTATATCTATCATAAATAAATAAATAAATCTTTAAAAAAATTAAAAAAATAAAAAATTATTTTCAAATCCCTGTATATCTGGTATGGAGATAATCAATGGTATTTGACTTTCTTGTTAGAACAGTAACACTTGGGAGTGCCTGGCTGAATCAGTCGGTGGAGCATAGGACTCTTGATCTTGGGGTTGTAAGTTTGAGCCTCAATTGGGTGTAGAGATTACTTAAAAATAAAATCTTAAAAGAGAAAAGTAGCATTTATTAGTTATAGTACCAATTTCCAAGTTATAAAATTGATTTTTGAAAATAATATATTTTGTAATATTAATAAACATAGTAAAAATGAGTTGGGTTCCTCATTTGAATATAGACAAGTGGTCTGTCATACCTTATAATTTGTATACAACTGTTATTTCTCACAAGCATTAATTATCATAACCTGTTAAAAACAATTCAGGAAATACAAGGCTATGTCTCTATTTTTGATTGTGTATGTCTTCTCTTCCTGCGGTGCCTGGTATGGAATTAAACAAAACAGATACAAAACAGACTCAAATCCAGCCTGGTTTCAGCCAGTCCTTCGTAGTTTAATTTGAAAAATCAGTTTACTTGCTTTTCCTTCTGAGATTCTTAGAAGTCACAGCTATTTTTGAACTTCTCCTTTAGAGCACCTCCAGTCCCAAACTGGTGAAGAGCAGAATGGAGCTGATCTCTTCCAATATGTAGGGCTGCTGATGCCAACTTATGGATAATAATGGATGTGTCCAGACGAATCCAGATTGGTAAAGATTTCAAGGCAAAGGCTGCTAATTAGAACCAGCACAGGAGCAAAAACTCACCTCAGCAACTGTGGAGAGTTAAATAATTGTAGCCTAGGTCTTCAACTGTGATTTTGTACCTTAATATTCCTGAGAGATAAGATGTAGGATATTTCAGCACATCCTTTTTTTTTTTTCTTTTTTGATTTTTTTTAGAACCTATTTTTAAGCAACCTCCATACTCAATATAGGATTCGAACTCATAACCCTAAGATCAAGAATTGCATGCTCCATTGACTGAGCAAGGCCAGTCCGCCCCCCTTGTATTCTTTCTTAATAATCTGGTATTAATATTACAGACTGTGGGTTTCCTAGAACACTACTCTCTTGTTGACCAATTTGGTTCTGTTTTGAACATCTGACCTCATAGCAAAGAGAATAGTTTTTAAACCTGAGAAGATGTTGTAAAAAATTGTATTTATATACATTCTTTCTGTTTTTTTGTTTTGTTTTGTTTTATTGCTGTTCTCTGTTTCAAGATGCCTTTGCAGTTTTGCTAAATGCAAACTAACAACTCTCAAGGCCACGACAGAAGAGAAATCATGACTGCTTAAAGCCTAGAAGACTGCCCTTAATAGAGTAATCCCCAATTGTTGTTTGAAATGCTGAGAACATTGCTGCGGAGGAGACTTTTCTCTTATCCCACGAAATACTACTGCCTGCTTCTTGTTTTTTCCGTAGTCACCTTCTCTGTTTTGCGAATTCATCAGAAGCCCGAATTTGTAAGTGTTGGACATTTGGAGCTGGTTGGAGAGAATCCTAGCAGTAATATTAATTGTACCAAAGTTTTACAGGGTGATGTAGATGAAATCCAAAAGGTACAGCTTGAAATTCTAACAGTGAAGTTTAGGCAGCGCCCTCGGTGGACAACCAGTGACTATATAAACATGACCAGAGATTGTAATTCATTCATCAAGAGGCGCAAATACATCATGGAACCCCTTAGTAAAGAAGAAGCAGAATTTCCCATAGCATATTCTATAGTAGTTCATCACAAAATTGAGATGCTTGACAGGCTCCTGAGGGCCATCTACATGCCTCAGAATTTCTACTGCATTCACGTGGACAAAAAATCCGAGGATTCCTTCTTGGCTGCCGTGCTTGGCATTGCGTCCTGCTTCAGTAACATCTTCGTGGCCAGTCAGCTAGAGAGTGTGGTATATGCCTCATGGAGTCGAGTTCAGGCTGACCTCAACTGCATGCAGGACCTCCATAGGATGAGTGCAGACTGGAAGTACTTGATAAATCTTTGTGGCATGGATTTTCCTATCAAAACCAACTTGGAAATTGTCCGGAAGCTCAAATCACTAATGGGTGAAAACAACCTAGAAACTGAGAGAATGCCATCCAACAAAAAAGAAAGGTGGAAAAAGCATTTTACAGTTGTTAATGGAAAGCTGACCAACACAGGGACTGACAAAATGCATCCACCTCTTGAAACACCTCTATTTTCAGGCAGTGCTTATTTTGTGGTCAGTAGGAAGTATGTAGAATATGTGCTAAAGAATGAAAAAATCCAAAAGTTTATGGAGTGGGCAAAAGACACATACAGCCCTGATGAGTACCTCTGGGCCACTATTCAGAGGATCCCTGAAGTCCCAGGCTCGCTGTCCTTAAGCCAGAAGTATGACATGTCTGACATGCATGCAATCGCAAGGTTTGTCAAATGGCAGTACTTTGAAGGTGATGTTTCCAAGGGTGCCCCCTACCCACCGTGCAGTGGGGTCCATGTGCGTTCTGTGTGTGTTTTTGGAGCAGGTGACTTGAACTGGATGCTGCGCAAGCACCACTTATTTGCCAACAAGTTTGACACAGACATTGACCTCTTTGCCATCCAGTGTTTAGATGAGCATCTGAGGCATAAAGCCCTGGAGACATTAAAACACTGACTGTTCATTTTGGGCAACGTTAGAAATAAGAAGACACGTGCATGAGATACACCCCATCTGATTCTTCTGCCCAGTAATAAACATCAGAGAAACTATAGGGGGCGCTCTTTGGGTTGGGGACTCCAATTAGAAATGTCCTTCGAAACTGTGGTTTCTGCGGAGCACAGTGGGTTAGAAAGGTTATAGCATCAAATGTTGACCTAGAGTTAGCAGGGGCCCTGACAGGTTGGGAGGCACTGGGGGGGGGGGGGGGGGCGCTGGCTCAGGTGGCTGGGGAAGAGGCTGAATGCAAAAACCAGCCTGTTAAAAGAACTCAGGGACTTAACAAAATGACTAAGATTTCATCTGTGCCAAAATTACTTTGAGAGCTTTAATGATGACAATTTTCTTGGTTTGAATAAATTTGCAGCAACAACCAATTGTAAGGGTGTAATTTATCTTGCAGGTTTTATTTGGTGAAATAGAAATTTGACTTTAAATGGTCCTTGTAAATAATTTACTTTCTGCTGTAACATTGTGCTGTGTAGCATATCAGTATGCATTGTCTCAGGGAACTTGAAAAAAATGAGCTTGATTGAATGTGAATATTTCTAATTTTCGCTTCTAACAATGTATATATGTTTTTAAAAACAACAACAAAAAAGTAGCACTGTCTAGCTTAGTTGATTCTATGAATCATCTTATTAGAAAAGATATCTTAAGTTATTTAAAAAGCTGAGATATCTTTATTATTATAAATTACAGAGAAACTCAGAGAAATTCCATTTTTCCAAGTATTTGTCTCTACTCACCCCCACCCTCATCTCCTCAGACCCTGCTATCAAGATGTATGAAAACTTGTTTCCATAATTCCCCAGAATACTGCCTCAGTTCTCTTATGTGACCCAAGACAGAAAGAGTGTTGTATGTATGGGCAGTGGAGATCTAAGACAGAAAGGAGGAGGTAGGCATGAGGAGTTGGAGGAGAGGCAGCCTATTTGGGCAATTTCTGAGATCTTTGATGAATGTTTAGCAGTCAGTACTATTTCCAGATAGTAAGGCTATTGCTCTTTGGATCCACTTATGCCCAGCTTCCCAGGGACAACTTAATGTCACCTGTGTCTCTATTTCAAAGGACTGGCTGGCTTCTGTTGTCCTTGCTTCTGCGTGGTACCTGCCCCTTGGTTGTTGTTTAGCCCTTGGATTGTAAGTTTCCTTCTTCCTCAGAACCCATGAGGAGGGACCCAAACCCTGTGCCACATACATACTTGAAGGCCTGATAATTGTGAAGGGAACATCAGGTTTGGGGCAGATTGTTTCAGTGTTGATATTCACAGCCTACGGTTTCTGCTCTACTTTTCCACCAAAAGACAAATGATTTGAAGTTGCCATTGTGCTGTCTCCTATCTCAAAGTAAATGAAAATTAGAAAGAAAAAAAAGAAAACGTGTTCTTTTGCTAACCTGATACTGTTCAGCCAGAGATCTAAGAGGAAATGTGATGCTTTATCAGTTTCCAGACACTCAACTGAGAAAATGATTTTATTCCTTAAAGTTAGAGAGCATTTTCATTTTACGGAGAGAGCTTTGTTGTGCTGACCCTCCTGAATGAAATTTTCACATTTTTAAAATCTTTATCGTCATGTGTAAACATGCAAGTCAGTAGATTGGTGTGCTTTGCATGATTAGGACAGACATTGTTGGGCCAAGAAAAACATACTCTGAAAACTCAAAGATAATGTACATGAGGGCATAAGACGATAATGCCTTCTCTTTTGCCTTCTAAATCGGTTTGCTCTTTTAATGCATGTCAAATGTTTCTCCCATGCTCTCTTAGCAGGAGATTTTATCTATAGATGAGTCCTTTTTTTCTCTGAAATTCGTGGTATTCATTGACAAATACTTTGTGTCTATGTCTTATATTTTTACTTAATTCATGGTGTCTGGTTTTATGCACATTTTTTCATTTATTTTGAAAATTTGCAAATTTATAAAAAATTTAAAAATAATAGTACAGTGAACGCCATATAACCCTCACCTGGAATCTTTGGTTGTTAACATTGTGCCCTATTTGCTTGGATTATATGGATTTTGGAATTTAACAAAATTGAAGATTAAGTCTATCTTTAATTTATTAATATCCAATGTTATTTATTTCAACACTCTTATTGTAGTGTGACTGCATCTGACTTGCATTTAAAATTGAGCGGTTTTGAGAGATTTTTCTCCACCAAAGATATAAAAATAAGACTTGAGAGTCTCACTTCCCAAGTACCCCACTAAAACTCTGGACCTACTGTCTTCTATATAGCAGTGGTACTTCAGTATTCTAAATGGCACTTGGTGGGACATGTCTGAACATTACCCTATTGCTAATGTCTATTACAGGGATTATATAGAATTTGTTTATTGTGACTTCCTTTTGTACATTTTAGCATAACTTAAAGCAAATAAAATTCATACTGCCGGGACGTGGGGTGATGGGCTGCCTCAGTCAGTAGCGCATGCGACTCTTGATCTCAGGGTATAGAGATTACTTAATAAAATCTTTAAAAATAAAATAAAATTCATACTATTGGGACAAGCAATTTGAAGAACCAAAAAGATGGTTTCAAAAGGAAGCAAAAATGCAAGTTCTTTGAGAAAGATATAGAAATTATTTAAATTGTTTCCTATATGTCAGTTATTAAACACTGCTTTTACTGTCACTTAGGGTCTTATGTAGGGAATTATTAGGATTCATTCACAAAACAAACTGCAATTTTGAGATGGAAGTTTTATTCTAGTTAATGACATACTGCATCAGATTAACATATTACTTACAAAGAGCAAGAGTTAACAAAAACAGTTCTTCTATAGGCAGTTACCTAGGCTCTTCCACACCATAGTAAAAAAACTGTTAAGCTTTGCAAATGTGAATTGTTGGGGAGGGAAAAATTTTAGTCTACCCAGTAAGGTTCTAGCTGGCCTGAGAATCAAACTGACATGAGACCAAGTAAGGAGAAATTAACAAGAGAAAGTCAAAGAGGGGTGCCTGGCTGGCTCAGTAGAGCCTGTAACTCTTGATCTTGGCGTCATGAGTTTGAGTCCCACATTGGGCATGGAGCCTACTTTAAAAAAAAAGAAAAAAATCAAACTAAGTTTAATAAATAACGTGTACCTTCTGTGTACATGGCAGAGACCCAAGTAAACAGTTAAGTCCCTGACTGATGCCATTGCCTTAAACATCAGCTCTAGTTAAAGACAAAAGGTTTTGGAGGTAGAGAGGGCATTATGGGAGGTTACCAAAAAAAGCACAATAAACCAAGGTAAGGTTATTATGCAGATTTAAGTCCATGCCTTTTCAATTGATACGTTTCTAGAGATTTAGAGTCATCCTCTTCTTGGTATCGAAGGAGACACCCTTAAAGGGAGATTTCTCTTGTATATATAAATGTCTCCTAAAAGGGTAACTTCTCAGTTTTCAGAGTTTTCTGTGTCTGTAGTTTCTTTAAAAAAAATATCAGCATAGGGGTACTTGGGTGGCTCAGTAAGGTAAACTTTGACTCTTGATTTCAGCTCAGGTCACATGGTCTGAGTTGTGAGATCAAGCCCCACATCAGGCTCTGTACTCTCCTTAAGATTTTCTCCCTCTCCCCACTGTTCATGTGAGCTCCATCTCTCTCTCTCTCAAAATAAATATTTATGAAAAAAAATAACCAGCTTAAAAATTGAATATGCCAAAGAGGCAAATTTTGGGGCAGCAAAATCTGCTTCCCCTACAGAAGCATTATTGTCTCCAAACTTGGATTTGTATCATTCGTCAAATACAGTTCACTCTAATGTAAGTAGATGTTCTTTTGTAGTTATTTAGTGGAAGAGGAAACCATGTTTTAATTTATTAAAACTGTAGGGTCCATTAAACTGGATTGTTGTAGTTTGCTTAGAAAATAAGTTAATTCTCATTACGTTAAATACAAAACAAATGAAACACTGTTTCATGGCAAGTGGGGCTACCATAGGTTTTACTCTTTTGATTGTGGGCATGACTGAATGCATTTGTAACTAGTCATATCACTATTAAAATCAACCATTTAGAAACCAATGCCTTGTCTCACAAATTATTCTTTTTTCCTTAGTTACCAGCACTCAGATTTAGTAGTTGATGTGATATTTTGTAATCAAGCAGTGTTGTATATGAGTATTGATTAAAAACATCAATTCTCCAGGCAGAAATGTCTGAGAGGAAGAGGGTGTGACAGTGGTAGAAAATTTAACACAGATGATGCAAAATATTCAGACGGGGGCCTTTAGAAGAATGCAGTGTCTGTTGATGGGAGGGGTGAGGGAGGGCAGTTTTCCAGTCAGTTCCATATCAATGACCACAAATACTAAAGATCTGCTATTTGCTGTGGTTTGTGTGTGGGGGGATGCAACTGAGGGAAAGGAACCCCCTCAAAAAAAAATATCAAGTGCCCGCTCAAATGTCCTCCCAATTGATCTGTTAAAGCCTTCTGGTGCTCTTTGGCCTCAATTTAGATGAAACACACTTTAGAGAGTGACAATATTGATTAACCTTAGATCTTGCTCTAATAACTTGAAAATTTTAATATATATCCTTTATAAGCTTGCTTGCCAAAGATTTAATTTTTAATATGTGCTTTCTTAAAGTTTTCAGGGCTTATCATCAGAATATTGATTTAATATTTTTGATGCAATAAGATTGAAACTAGAAATGACTTAGAGCTATTGGGGAGGATAAAACTTCATTACTGCAGATTATATTTTTGTCCAAATAGAAAGCCCAAAATATATTAGGAATTTTATAAAATTAACCAATATAACCAGATATTCAAAGATTAATAGGTTTCCCATATTTGAGCAAAAAATAATGGTTTTAAAATATAATTGGATTATGTTACTATTCATCATGGCAACAAGCTCAGTAAAATGTTTGAACATAAGATGTGTGTAAGACAAATAGACTTGTATAGTGGAAAACTACATTGCACTCCAAGACAAATATTTCAAACATGACCTTTCCCAAAGCAGTCCATCTGCTAAATGGAAGTCTAAACATATTCTCAAAGGTTAGTAAAATTGTTCTAAATTTCATCTGAGAGAAAAAATGTGCAAGGATAGCTAGGAGGGGTGCCCGGGTGGCATAGTTAAGTGTCCAACTCTTGATTTCAGCTCTTTCCTCTGGGTAGGCTTGCAATTTTTGAAGGCCATAGGCCGCTGCAGCCTTCTTTGCCTGGCAAAGCAATAAAACTATCTTCCTCTTAATCCCAAATTCTCTCT